ATTAGAATAATTGTAAAAAAATAATTAAAAGGGTATAATCGTCTTTTCAAGTTTTTTTGGACTAAAAACCCAGAAAAACCTTGATTTTGGACCTTCTGTGCAAGCTGGAAACTTTTTAGACCCCATTCAAAGATTTTTGCAAACCACAAGGACTAAATTTGCAGTTTTGTCTTTTTTTTTCTTTTATATATTCAAGGTTCTAAATAACATTAGGTGTGATTTTGGTGGCAATGTCAAGCCTCAAGCTTTTACGAGCCGTGGCAAGTTACGTCGTTTATAAGACGTGACTTAAGACGACAATTTTGTATATAATTAATAATTTTATATATTTTTTACATTATTGTTAATATATATATATATATATATATATATATATATATATATATATATATATATATATAGAGAGAGAGAGAGAGAGAGAGAGATAGCTAGGTTCAAATGTGGATTGACATCTATTGTGCGGACGTGTGGACAGTCATATTCTGTGGAAATGACAAACAAAATATGTTGTTTGATAATATGAATACGTTCAATCTTACATAACTATTGTCATTATCACACATTCTGACTAATTAAATCGTCTATAAGGTTATTATAGACTTATTATTATTATTATTATTCTCATTCTGGCATAATGTGGTCAGAATGTTTATTGAGTCATATTTTATAAGAATGAAAATGAGTGAAAAACGATGTGTGATAACAAAAATGAATAAGAATTAGTGAGAATGAATGAAAATGATGATAGTTGTGTGAGGTTGAACGTATTCGTATTACTAAACAACGTATTATCTTAGTAATTCTCAAAAATAACATTGTCCACACGTCCGCACAATAGTTGTCTATCCACATTATAACCTATATATATATATATATATATATATATATATATATATATATATATATATATATATATATATATATATATATATATATATATATATATATAAGTTAAGACGACATTTTGATAAAACGTAACTTCAAATACAAGCTTTGGAACCATAACGTGTCATGACGAAGCGGTGACGACCTTTTTAAAACCTTAGGTATATTTGATGTCATTATGCATTGGAAACAATAAAAGGTTTGCAATTTTTGCATATTTGTTTTTCAAAATAGGAAATAAAAGGCATCTTATTCATTTAATTTGTTTATTTATTTTTATAGTAATATCTATTCTTAATAAAAGACTCCTTAAACCGCCACGTGTCCCTTTTTTAGACCTTCATGATGCCACGTGTCATTATATAAACCATCGTTAAACTTTTTTCCCGCTCAAAATTTTTGACTTGCTCTGCTCTATTCAATTTTAATAATCTTGCAACTAATCAATCCCAAAAAATCAGGAACTAATTTATTTATTTCTTTTCTAAATCCCATTCATAAAAATACTTCTCTTTCTCTTCAAGTTTTCTTTCAACGGCGGCTGTGGTTACCACATTGTATTTGATCACGTTCATACAGGAGGTTGAAGATGACGTTCTACGATTTTAGATCAGAAATCATATCATTTTATCTTTTATTTCTATTCTTTACTGACGGTTTAGGAAATTGGTTTTTGAGAGGAAGAGTTGCAACCGTGAAGTGATGAAGTGATTTCTAGGTCCATTCTACTAAGTACAATCATGTGTGATAGTTCTATACGCAATTGATCTGTATATTTGTTTTCGGGATGTGTTGGGATGATCTGTTTCAGAGTTCGTTTCCCCCACCCAGAGGGAATCCAATTCACCTAAAGTCACCACCATTGCTCCAATTCACCTCAAGTCACCATTGCTTTTTTACAGGTTTGATCTTTCTTTAATTTACCTATTTTGTTCCAGAGTTTTGGGAATTGGGATTTAAATTTTTGTAAATTCATCTTTTTTATGGGATTTTAGGTAGTGAGTTCGTTCCTTCTAACTGCTAACATTTATTAATTAGTTTTATGTTTGTGTAAATATTCTATAAATTAAAATTGTAGATTAAGTGTTTGATAAAATGTCTAATTAAGGTTTTAAGCTCGTAGATGAATGGTTTTACAAATTCATTGTTTTTTCATGTTGTTTTAATGATTTTCTAAATTTTATAAAAACACTGAAAGGTTTTCATGGTTCTTATCAAGTAAACTAAACAAATATTCCAAAACCCATTCAGGGAAAAGGAAAACCCAAATACAACAAAAGATAAAGATTAAAAGTGTATACAGATAACCATGAAATTTAATAAATAATAACGAAAATGGAAGAAAAACATTTGATTATTTGAAAGTTTTATGCTATTTTCTGATAAATATGTTAAAATGTCTTTTTTTTGTCAACAACTTGCCTATTTTGTAAAATTCTTTGAGATATTTTCCGTGCGAATACAAGTTAATATGTTGGTATTTATTTGTGCATATATTTATTTGACATATATGACTTATGAATTCACATGTCTTAAAAATTTTATTTTATCTTGAAGCTAACCATCTCTGTAATGACACACATAACCAAGAGGAATGCATTTGGAATGAAATACATATCTGTGATCTACCACATTGCATTTTCTAATAAATTGTTGCTTCTGACTACAGATTAATGGATTCAAAAAGTATCACTCTCCTTAAAGTCATGGATCTCTTCAAAGATGAGTACACCATCAAGGTTAGAATCGTCTGTCGTTGGAGACAATTAGACTTCAAAAACCCGAAGGATGCCTTTTCAAGTCAATTAAAAAAACCCCTTCATCAAAAAAAAGTCAAGTTAAATTACTGTAGATAAATAAAGTAACAATATCCTATTTTTTTACGCCAATTTAACATTGTACATTGAAAGTACGATGCTTTAATAAGAAAAATAAAATAAAATAAACAAATATAACAAAACCTCTGTAATACATGAAAAAAACCAACCTCAAGTAATTGCATCAAGGAACAATATAATCCCTAAAAACCATAATAAGCCTAAGTTATTTAAAAGCAATTAAAAAAACGAACTTCAGATGTTCTTTGATACCTTATCTATTAGTTTCTTTTGGTTTAAGATATATGTCTATAATTGGGTATTTCTTGAAAGATAATAAATATTAAGATGTATGTCTATAATTGGGTATTTCTTGAAAACTGACACCCAAAAATAGCATTCTACTTTTAAGGTATGATGTTATAATTGGGTATATGTTGACATCCGCCACCCAAAAATAACATTTTACTTTCAATCTACAATACTTTAATAAGTAAAAATTAAAATAAATGTGAAATGGTTTGATGCCACCCAAAAATAACATTTTATTACTAAACATCCTATTTCATTTATTTTATCATTACTTTAAGCATGTTAGTGGCAGATTTGCCCTTGTGTCTTGCATGCTTATGTTGAGGGTGGTTATGGTTAATCTTCACAGTTACAGTTACTACTTAATAGTTCATGGGATGTACATTTGTTGGTTTTCTCTTGCTTTCTTCTAGCTGTTGGTGAGTTTTTATTTTGACCTGGTGGACGGTTTTGCCCTTGGTTCTTATGTGATTCTACAGTTGTTTTTTTTTTCTTTTCTTCATAGATGTTGCCTTTTAGTTCATTGAAATGGTGTTGGTATGTTGGGTCCTGCTTAGGCTTGGTTTCCTGTTTGTGGTTTTTTTTAATTGTAGTTCCCTCTTGTTTTGTTTAGTTTGGTTTCTTGTGTCTTGTATTGGCTTTGGTTGTTTTCTCTTTTCCTTTGTATTCATGTTTGTTTTTCCGGCTACCTGTTGGCCTTTATATTAATGTTATGTTTTGCCGTTCAAAAAGAAAAAAACAAATAGTTACGATTGTATGATCTCAACAAACTTCTGTAAGTTAATAATTACTTATCAAACTATTTTATATAACTTTCCAATTGAAACTCAAACATTACCACCGTAACCAATTTATTCATTCAACTCAATTTTAATACGATTCTTTTCCAAAATAAAATAAAACCTACGGTTTTCTTTTATACTTTCACAACATTGGATGATAATTTTATCAAAAAAAATTTGGTACTCCGTATAAAGTTCATTTGAAATATGATAAACTCTTTGCTTTTAATTCATAATTCTATATTTTGCTTTCACATCATCACCACTAATCATCACATGTTTCTAAATATATTATGATGTGATTGTATTTTTTATGTGTCTGAACCATTGACATTTACTATTATTATTTTGTCTATATAATAATTTTAAACATATATACCGTGGTTTCCACGGATTATAACCTAGTTTGTAATATAACTACTTTATTAACTTATTAATTTTTGTAAAAAAAAATAGTCTTTGGGATTGTTATATGTTTATTACTCCCTCCGTCCCAAAATTATTGTCCACCTTACTATTTTAGTTTGTCCCAAAATTATTGTTCACTACCAAAAGTAGATATACACATTTACCATATTACCCCTAACATTTAATAAAGTAAACTTGAATAATTACAAACGCACATTTCCCATTGGTTTTAGAAAAGGGCAAGAGAGTCATTTTATTCAAAAAGACAAAACTAATGATTGATTTTTTCTTAATCTATGTGTTTTTTGTCTGTGGACAATAATTTTGGGACGGAGGGAGTATGATTTTGGACATAACTTTTTTTTAAAAATGTTAATTTTGCTTTGGAAAAAGAATCACTCATTAATAAGAATCTTCAGCGAATAAACTCGTAAAGAATAACTGTAAATTTTAATTTGCGGTGCCGAGAGACTAAGACGGGAAAAGATCTGTCTTTCATCATCATTTTGATATTTTTTGTTAAAAAATGAAATGTCAAGAAACTTCATGTTTTTCACCCAGATTTTTTAATGGTTCGATTGTTTGATTATGTTTGTACAGTTATACCCCGTATTAAAAAATTTGGATGTCTCATTGCAACACAATTTGACCATAGTTTGCAACTTTGCATAAATTTATATTAACATCATCCAAAATTTAATGAATTTATTTTCATTAGAAATAAATATCCATAAAACAATTAAAGAATTGATTAAAATAATTGAATACACCCACACCCACTAACATCATCCAAAATCTAATCAAATTTATTAAAATCATCCTCCGACGAAGAGAACGGAAACCCCCTTCTCGATGACGACGGAGACGCCTCGCCTCCGGCAGGCATATCAGCTATGGCAGCAAACATCCGGCGAATACTAACAGATCGTGCAGGTTTGAAGCTAAACGATCTCACCATCTTCGTCTTCGAGAACACATCAGACGAATTCGAAAGGATTAAATAAATCAGAGCTTGAACAATCACGAAAAGCGTACCCTTCATCAGCACATCTTCGAACGAAAACTCCACCATTGCCATGTATGAGCAGTTTTTCCGATAAGATTAATGTAAGTTGTTGTAAATTTGTAATAGAAGTGAAAGTATGTGAGAGACTTGAATGCATGCAAGGTATTTATAGAGAGGGGAGAAGCCGCCGTTGACGTTGCGTATGGAGGAAGAAGAAGGAGAAGGTTGTTTGATTTGACCGGAAACGTGCTTTAGTTTGAAAAAGGGAAACCGCAAGGATGGTGATAACAAAGAGCATTTATATTTCATATTAAATAAAACACCAACTTGACAAATGAAAATTTTATACAAAAAATACAATAATACTAAACTGTTTGAAAAAATATATATAAGTTTTAATTTTAAAATATATATTTGCAAATATACAAGTATTTGATTTATATGCAGAAATCAAAACTATATTAGACATGTTTTAAACATGTCATGCTTGTGCGACAACTACAACGAAACGAAAGACTTTAGACATTCTATTAAAACATACATCGAAGAATGACTGTGTCGCATATAAAAATAAAACCTTTAACATTAACACTAATGAAGACCTATAAACGAGATAAGCCAAAACTAAAGGAAGAATTCGTTGACGTGAACAACAAAAAAAGATGAGTATAAAAAATCGTATGTATAATCGGCACGTTAAAATATTATATTTATTGGTTGTTTTATCCCATGACTATTCCCACTTGATTTCTAGATTGCGTTGTGGATTAGGTTTGGGTCGTTATCATTTATACGTTCCACATTTTATTTGATTATAACTTTATTTGTTTTTGTGTGGGATGTGAGTCATTTTCAACATGGAAAATGAGACGTAAATACCATTAATTACACACCAATGTATAGACATTTATACTAGTAGGTCTAAGTGCAAGTTGTAAAAACGAAAATGAATGTAAGCTATATATATTTTAAAATATTATTTTTATCGATTTTTTTAAATATATTAGCATTTATAATTTTCATATTATTTATAAATCAATATAAATAATGATATATTTTTTATCATTTAAATTACAAATTATTTACCTTTTTACATTAACTCTCATTATATATATATATATATATATATATATATATATATATATATATAGTTTTATTATAACGGTTTTGTTATTCACATATCAATAATTAACATTATTTACACATAAATAAAAATTAGATGCATATTTTTGTCCATAAACATACATGTCATATCACCTAAACAAAATTAGTTAGTTGAAAATAGACAATAAACGATTAAAAATATCAAATATAAAAAAAATTAAATTAAAAAAAAATGTAGACACTTTGTAAAAAGAATTGTCACAAGGACTAGGCAATCATTGCTTTTAGTATTTCATTGATTTATTTCTTCTTATTTTTATTGAGATGGTTAGGTTATATATAAGGGAAGACAACCATTTCCGTGAAGGTGTACCACATCATCCAAAAAATAAGTCACTTGCTTCTTATTAGGTATATAAAATGGTGTTCAATGGTCAAGCTAGTGAGTTAGAGAGGAAAAAAAAGCACAGGGAAGAAAAAGAGAGATAGAAAAAAGGTTTTTCCCTCTCACTTTTGAAGGATCGTAGCCACAGTTACAAGAAGTCACACTTACGCAACATAGGGGTGGTGTTGGAATGCATGTTATGCGTCGCAACACGTAAGTTGATGATGCACTACGTATAGCTTTATTGAAGTATAATTATTTTTTTCTAACATTGAAACAATATTTACCAATAAATATACATTACGTATAAAAGAATTAACAAATACCATAAATTGCAAGATGCATACTACACAGGAAGTGAGGCAAACCACTAAGATATGATATAGAAGGTGATATTTTTATTTATGTTTTTTATCCATCTATTTAAAAAAAAATATTTTAATTCTATACTTTTATCATAATTATCTCTTTTCATTTAAAATAAAGATTAAACTAAACCAATCGTCTTTCTTGCATGTAACAAAATACACGTTTAGTTCTTATTTTCAAAAATTAATTTGGATCGTCACTCATTTGTTTAAAATATGCATGTTTCATCCCTTGTTAGTTTAAGTTTGCATGTTGTTTCCTTTACCATACATAAAATAACTATAATGCCTTCTTGTTTTATTTTTAATTTAATTATATTTTAGTTTGTATTTAAAGAAAAGAGAAAATAAAAAAAATAAAAAATAAAAAATAAAAACAATTACAACCTCCTTCTTCGATCTAAGATTTCTTTAAGGTGTTGGTTCGTTGAAGGTTGCATATTTCGAAGTGTTGGTTCATTGGACTCGCAAATCAGGAGATGGAGGTGGTAGTTCGTCGAAGCTCACATATTTGGAGGACGATGTGCACCATTTTTGTCTCTAATGTGAGTTGTTTCGAACCTTCATCGTCTTTGGGTCTCGAACGTTGTCGCCTTCATCGTCTCACGGTTCTTATCTAAGGGTTCTTTAACGTTGCCGCCTAAGTTCTGAACCGATAGTCGTTGCCTAAGTTCCGAACCAATAGTCGCCGCCTAGGGTTTTAGATTGAGCTCCACCATCTGTTTGGTGTTGAATACATAGTTGGTTTTGTTTGGTTAAGTAGTAGTGGATGGTGGTTTCCGGTGGTGGTTCGGGAGGTGTTGACGGTGATAATCGTGTAATTTACCCTAATATAAATGTCATCAGTCCTCCTATTATCATTCCTTTTATCATGAATATCACCTCCCATTTATCATATTTTTGTGTTATATGTATTTTGATTGTTTAACAAATTACTGAAATCGTACCTGTAGTTTGTTAAAATTGCACGTTTAGTGTCTAACTTTTATTTTGCACTTGGATCGTCCCTACCTTTTGATTTTATTACAGTGTAAGTCCCTACCCAATAGAAAATAACTATAATGCTCTTTATATTTTATTTTTCAATTATTATTTTTAATTATTTATATTATTATTAAAATATTGATGGGTCCCAAATCCACCGTCTATCTCTCTCATATTAATCGACAACCCATCTCCGATTAACCCCTACCTGCCAAACATTCACGCACCACCAGTTCTCTTCGCCGGTGACCCTCCACATGATGCAGCTTGTAACGTCCCAAAAATTATGAGGTAAAAATTTCATTTTTAATTCAACCAAAACACCAATTATCTTTTATTCAAACATTCAAAGTGTAATATAATAAAACAGTCATCAGAGTACAATCCCAAAATCATCATATTGCGGAAACATGGGTGGATGTGTTGCGATCAAGTCGGGCCTTCCCTTCCGAACCGAAAGTACCTAAAACCATAACCATAAGAACCGTAAGTACAAAGCTTAGTGAGTTCCCAAAAATACCACATACCATACATACAATAGAGAATGTTATGTGCCAACCATAGTCTTGCCATTATGCCACAAGTCGTATCATGGTCTTTCCTTGCCAGGTCAGGGGGCCAAAACCTTAAACCCTGGGTCTTATACACAAGTGCCAAGAGCCACCTCCTGGACTTCAATTAAAGTATCACAAAGACAACTAGCATACTATCTATATATATCTACCTATATGTCAGGGTTTGATCCATGGTCTTGCATACAATTTTCCAAGAGCCGCCTTCGGGTCTTTCATACAGATGCCAAGGAACACCCCCTAGTTCTCCTATAATACATAATCCAATGGGCCGACATTGGTTCCTTCGACCCATCGTACAGTGAGGAGACTCACCTCAAGCTGTTGAATATCTCAGATAAAAGCTCGGACTGTTGATCCGGAAAATCCCCGCACTAGCATCATCAAATAATATCCAATTAATAATTAGTCCACAACCCAAAGTTGGAATCCTAGTCCAATTGTCCAATAATCAGGGAACAAATCCATTTGCCCTCTCCTCACTTGGCCCAAAATCTGAGGCCCAAACCACTAGCACCAAAAATCCCAATATGGCCCAACTTCCTAATTGGGCCCAAAACCCATCATGGGCCTAATATAATAAGGCCCAAATTCCTAAAAGACACCCAAAGATCTAAACGGTCCCAAGCACAGGAAGGCCCAAACACAGAAACTAGGGCACAACAAGGCCTAAAAGCCCAAAATCACATCTCACGTTGTGACCAGTCCTTGGTCACGTCGTGAGAGCTCACTCGATCTGATCCCAACTCATAATGACTCAACCTAGCCAACTCAGTCAAAGAATGACACCTGAACTAACCTCACGACGTGATCCCTAATAAGCTCATCAGAAACGAGATCAACCGCTCCTTACGTCGTTAGACCTTGTGTCTCAAGTCATGAGAACAGTCTCAGGCAAAAATCCAACTTTTCAGTCCTTTATCCAATAAACCTTGAACCCTAACTTTTCATAAGGTCTTATAACCTCTTAATTCACTAGAAAGTTGATGCTTTTAAGACATATATGTCCAATACATGTCTAGATCTCATTTAGGTCCAAAGTTGAAGGAAAAAGGCATCCAACTTTCATGCAAGGTTCCAAAACTCAACCATTTTATAGATTTGAAGTACAAGACATCCCTAAGGTCCTCATAACCCATAAAGTTGTCAACCTTATGGTTTCTGTTCATTCAAACATGCACATTCAAAAAGAAAAATGGGACTAACCTTAGATCTAACCTTATATAACCATAAAGGTAGGAGCTTTATCACTTACAATGGTCCAAAAACAATGTAAGGTGATGTTGATGATGATTCGTTGCAAGCCACAACACAAGACCACCGTCTTCTTCTTCTTTCCTCCTACTTCCAACCCAAGAAAAGCTCCAAAACCACCAAAGATTAAGAAAGGATGGGCATTAGGGTTTCTTGAGGTGAAAGATGGTTTAGGGCTGATAAGAAACACTAATATGAGGTTAGAGATGCTTAAATACGAAGGAAACCCTAAAAGATCATGTGCTTGGGATGCATCGCTCCTCACGTTGTGAGCTCTTATTGCTCACGTCGTGGGCTCAATCTCGGACAAAGGTCTTCATGCAACTCATCTCAAGTCGTGAGCCTCTATGTCTCAAGTCGTGAGGCTCCGTTTTCTCCAAAAATCAACTTTTTAACTCCTTAAAA